GGGGGGGGGGAGGTAGCGGGAGGCAGTGGTGGTGGTGTGGAGAGTGCATCAGGGTCTCTCAATAGGCCTGCACACACCCCAAGGTCAATCATCTGGTTGGGTCACTCCAAGCCAGGGGACCAGGGACTGTTCAGCAATCAATCAGTCATGTAGGGCTCGCACCGGCAGTCAGGAGAATCATTTATTGTCAGACGGTTTGAGGTCTGGCAGTCCATTCGTTAATCTATGACAGAGATGCAATGGAGGTCTACAGGGGCAGCAAGAGAGGGTGATCATTGTTAAAAAGGGTCACGGAGTCACAGTTGGCAGGGACCAAAACAGAGGCATTTGTAGAGATGGGAGCAAGGATTGTGACAAGGGAGAAAGACAAAACAGCTGAGTATGTGCAGAATATATTGGAGGGAATGATAGGCTATGGGAGGAGATTCTTATTGGCAGTGACGACCACTAGAGGAGCGTAATGTCCGGGCTCGGGATGGGGTGGGGGGGTGTGCGCAAGAAGCAGGGTAAGATACAATGCTCAATGGGGAGCAATTTCTTTCTCACAATCTCTCTAACACACACACATTAACTCATTCCATTTAACTAGTCAGTGAATGTGCTACACTTCATTTTTTTTTCTCTGTGGGAAGCATCTCACTTCAACATAATGGCTTAACCTCACTTCGTAACTCAGTCAAGTATAATGAACTGTCAGTACAAACCCAAATACAGCACCATTTATTGTTTACTTTGGAGAAAGAAAGAAAAACCTGCATTTGCACAGTGAGGGGGTCCCACAATACATCAAAACCACCAAAATTACCTTTCCAAATTACAAGTAAACAGGGAAGTTGTGTTCAGAAAGATCCCATAAATTGCAAATGGAATAAATATTCACTTACTACCCTAACTTCACAACTTATTGCTGTAAAAGGCAGTTAGAGATTGCATCAGATACTGATGGTCTGCAGGAGCTGTCCTGAGGTAAGGTTCAGCCAGAGAATGAATGGACAACAGAAGCTCCATCAGAGAGCTTGAAATCGCTGGTGGGAAAGTGGAATACTTTGAAAATGACTCTATCTATAGACTGGAAAATCTAGAAATTTTCAAAGTACTTACAGCTCAGATCAAGTGTGGCCACCAGGTGGCAACTACAAGAATATAAAACAAGGTCATAGACAGGGAACAGCACAAAGCCGGAATTAAAGTGATAAAGGAGAAATTTAGAAGCCTGAGCAGACAAAGTCTAATGGAAGAAGAAAATTTGTAGACTATCGAGGCTACAAAAAATGTGGGAGATCCATTATTTAAATAGTGGTAAAGGAGAACAATATTTATTCAGAACACATCCAGAAAAAAAAACATGCAAGTAACTGGGATTACTATTTAGAGGCATAAATAATGGGAATCATCTAGGGAAAACCCTTAAAGAAGATGATTCATTCAGTAAAGCGGAAGAGAATGCAAATCATTGTTCAACACAGGCGACAGGACTCATTCAAGTAAAACTATTACAGAAAGAGGAATCATTTATTATTAAGGCTGCAATTAACAAGATTCATCAAAAGAAGTCATAAAAATGGGGGAATCATTTCATTTACTTACAGAAGGTGGGATGCTCCATTTTGACCATAAAAGGTGGTAAAACCATCCAGTAAACATTAGGAGAATCAAAAGCTTTTGAGTCAATGAAAGTAAGTAATCACATTAGGAATACATTGCAGTAAAACAATACTGACAGCAAGGTTTAATGGTAGAAATGGACCTCATAGAACACAGAATTGGATATCTTCAAGAAAATGATTCTTCAGAAACAGAATTGTTGCCAAACCAGATACTGAAACAGAATTGTTGTTGGGATTGTTGATAATCTTTGTCATATTTAATAAAGCCAAAGAAGATCTGACTTTAGAGAAAGCCATTGAGATGGTGAATGAAGATAAAGTATGGAAGCACAGCAGATTAATGCCAAGAGGAGATCAACCATCTCACAGAAATTTGGCAAAATCCACTCAGTTCTTAAGATATGAAATCCCTAAAGATACACCTAAGAACTAGTACAGTGAACAAGACAGACATTGTCAACAGACAGACTCGGGGACCGCTTTGCAGAACACCTACGCTCGGTTCGCAATAAACAACTGCACCTCCCAGTCGCGAACCATTTCAACTCCCCCTCCCATTCCTCAGACGACATGTCCACCCTGGGCCTCCTGCAGTGCCACAACGATGCCACCCGAAGGTTGCAGGAACAGCAACTCATATTCCGCTTGGGAACCCTGCAGCCCAATGGTATCAATGTGGATTTCACAAGTTTCAAAATCTCCCCTCTCCCTACCGCATCCCAAAACCAGTCCAGCTCGTCCCTGCCTCCCTAACCTGTTCTTCCTCCCACCTATCCCCTCCTCCCACCTCAAGCCGCACCTCCATCTCCTACCGACCAACCTCATCCCACCCCCTTGACCTGTCCGTCCTCCCTGGACTGACCTATCCCCTTCCTAACTCCCTACCTACACTCACCTTTACTGGCTCCATCCCCGCCTCTTCGACCTGTTTGTTTCCTCTCCACCTATCCTCTCCTCTATCCCTCTTCTATCCGCCTCCCACTCTCTCCCTATTTATTTCAAAACCCCCTTCCCCTCCCCCTTTTCTGATGAAGGGTCTAGGCCCGAAACGTCAGCCTCTCTGCTCCTAT